GCATTTTTTTTTTATAGTTTGCTACTCCACACATTTTATTTTCACATCCTCTCCAGTACAGGAAGTATGAATTGTGTAAACACATTAGAATGTTCGCATCCACTTGACGTATTTTCCACAAATTTGAGCCATGAAAGCGCACCGTCGCCTGCACGGTGCATAAGCACCATGCGGTGAGTGAGTGCCGAGGCTTCCCCAGCAGGTGAAGAGTCCTTTCAGTAATCTGCATTTGTGAAAGATGAAGTTTCCCCCGATCTTGGCCTTTTGGGTGACAAATGCCCCGTAGTGACCCACTGCGGGATCTGGTCGATGTCGTCCAAAGGCAGGCGGGATGTCAGCTGCTGCGTTCACACTGTTACTTGCTTCTGACAGGAGTGAAAACATATGGATCTCTGTCCAGTGACTTCTCTTGAGGGTGTTTCTGGAAGAGGCCCTAGCTGTCCCTGTTTCTTGGACCAGATGTCTGAACATTGACATCAACTCCAAAGACCTCAGTTTGCTTCCCCGTGAGGGTCCTCGGGCTTATGTGGAAGCCACGCGCATCCTGGGGCGTCAGAAGACCCTGGGCTCCCTTAAGCCTGCCTAGTCTTTTGAGTAATGCCCGCAGGACATCCAGGCTGAATCCTTGTGAAGAACAAACACTCAGCTGGGAGTATTCGGCAACAGGACAGCACAGCACCAACGGCTACATAAGGGCAGATCGCTGAGGACCACAGATTCAGGAAATCCGCCACCACCCCTGGATCAGCTTGGCCAGTGTCCTGCTTGGCCCCCAGCTGGGCGTGAGGAGATGCTAGCATGTGTGCACATGTGGCCACCTCACAGGCTTGGAGGGACAAACCCTGAGGCCTGTTACTGGAGATCCACCTTGGTCAGGTCAGAGAGAAGCACCCTGGGGATTTGTAACCACTCAGATTTGAGGGTCTCACCTCAGTCTCACTCCTCCAAGGAGAAGATGTTAAAAAGTGGCCCTGGTAATTCTAAGCATCTGGGAAAACTACTCTAAAGCACCCCCCTCCCCACCTAATCCCTGAACCCCATTCACCCAACCCAGGCCAGGTAAGGGTGACCCACCGTGCTGTGTAGCTATGCAATCAAAGCTGTAAATAAATGGAGGAATTGTGTGGAATTCATGGGTTGGCAGACCCAGTACAGCGATAGAGTCAGTTCTCCCCCAGATGACTTAGATCTAGCCCAGTTCCTGTCAAAACACTGGCAGAGTTTTTGGAGGCAGAGACAAGCTTATTCTAACATGTGCATAGAAAGCACAGGATCCTTTTCAAAAAGCTGTGTAGGATTGGAACTGGAATCTGCCATAAGCTAAAACAGTTAAACAGGAGAAATCATGCTATATGATATTAAGGCTTACTATACAGTACTCAAGGCAGTGTAGTATTGATCATGAGACATAGACAGTGGACCAGAACAGAATCCAGAACTAGATCTACACAAGTTTGCCCATCTGATTGTTGACAGATGCAAAAGCAGTTCAAAGCAGGCAGGATATATTTCCAGCAGACAGCGCTCGAGCAACTGGACACCCACAGGCAAAAACGTGAACCTCATTGAGTATAAAATGTAAATTATAAAACTTTCAATAGGAAAAAATGCTCAACATCTCTGGGCATTAGAACAATGCAAACTAAAACAATACTAAGATTCCAACTTACACCAGAAAGAATAGAAATTGTCAAAAAGTCAAAGAATAACAAATGTTGGCGAGGCTGTGGTGAGAAAGGAACTCTCCTGCATGGGTGGTAGTGAATGCAAACTTGTACAACCAACATGGAAATCAGTATGGAGATTTCTCAAAGAACTAAAATTAGAACTAAATTCTATATGACCCAGCTATTCCCCTTCTAAGTATCTTCACTTCCAAAGAGCTACAGACCTCACACGACAGTGATACATGCATACCAATGTTATAGAAGCACAATTCATAAGAGCTAAATCCTGCAAGCAGCTGGTATACCTATCAATAGATGATTGGATAAAGAAAATGTGATATCTGTACATAATGGAGTACTACTTGGCTATAAAGAAGGATAAACTTGAGACATTTCTATGAACATAAATGCATCTGAAAAATATAACATTGAATGAAATGTCAGGCAGGTAAACTTAAATACTATATGGAGGGAGGAGGGCCCCCGGCGACCAAGAAGCCATATGGCGGGGTACACCGGCCTTTGGGCCGGCCCCTGGCCATGCAAGTGCCTGGGAGGCAGGCCTTGGGTGGTTGGGAAGCTGTGGGGTGGCACACTGGCCCTCAAACCAGCCACCACCACACAATTGAGCACTATCGTGGCACAGAGAAGCAATGACACAATTGGCCCACCACACACCAGCTGCAAAGGCCCACCCACTGGCATCCGTGAATCATTTCAACATGGAGAAACCCCTGGGAATACATGCCACACAACAGGTCACTCTTGCCCCTGCCGTTGAGAACCAGAAAGGTCCAGAGTCCCCGGAGGAGCAGCTGCTGAACAAGGACTCAGGGAACACGAGAATACAGACTACGCCTGAAGAGTCAGAGGTCTAGTTGACCAGGGTCACAAGAGCCGTTCAGAAGCTGGAAACCAGGAGGACCTTGTGCAATACCTGAGGAGACCCTCTGGAAGCCATTCTTCCCCTGTCAGTACAGGCTGCAGTGGAGGAGGATGTGGAAACTCTGGAGAGGTCTGCACCGAGATTCCTGCTCCCTGTGCTAACAGTTGGGGAGAAGACACTAACTGGTTGTGGGTCCCAATGCAATGGGAAGCTGGAGAGAAAAAGTTACAAAGAATGGCTTTCACCCCAGATGGCTCACTTGGGATGTTAGTAAGAACTGCCTCCTCAGTATTCTATAGCTGTGATGAGGAGGAGGCCAAGGAGAGAAAACAAAGAGACCGAGAAAAAGCAACTGCTTTTGCTGTAGCCCTAAGAAAAACAGACCCTAAGTCTGATTCTCAGGGCCCCAAAAAGAACTCAACAACTGCATTCATCTGCTACCACTGTTAAAAGCCAAACCACTTCAGGAGGAACTGCACTAAGAAGCCCCCTGGGCCATGCCCTGACTGCAAATGAGACCACTGGAGATCGGTCTGCCCTCTGAAGCAGAGGCCCCAGAGTTCAAACCCATCCTACCAGTTAGTCCAACAGGAGTGAGGGGGCCTGGGGCATACTCTGCCTTCTCCCTCTGGCCAGACTGTCATCTCTATGGAGGAGCCCCAGGTAATCATGACTATAGAGGAAAAACAAAAAACAGCCTGTTGCTAAACACAGGTGCAAGTCTCTCGGTCCTTCTTTTCAATCCTGGCCTTCCTTCCAGCCATCACACCTCAGTGAAAGGAGT